TTGCATTATTTTTTGCTCTGATTTTGATAATTTCCAATCTTGTTTTGGCTTTGAGCTTGACTTGCTCTTCTTTTTCTAGATATTTGATGTGTAACATCAGTTTGTTAATTTGTATTTATTCTGTTTTCCTGATGTGGGAACTCAGTGCAATAAATTTTCCTCTCAGAACGGCTTTCATTGCATTCCACAGATTCCGGTAATTTGTATCTGCATTTTCATTTTCTTTTAGGTATTGTTTAATTTCTTCTTTAATTTCCCCTGTGACCCACTGATTGCTCAAGTGGATTATTCAATTTCCATGTGATTGTGGGGTTTTTGCAGTTTCTTTTACCATTAATTTCTACTTTCATGGTACTATGATCTGAAAACATGCATGGGATAATTTCAACTCTTTTGCATTTACTTAAATATATTTGGTGGTCTAGTATATGGTCTATTTTAGAGAATGTCCCATGTACTGCTGAGAAGAATGTATATCCTGATATTGTTGGATGGAACACTCTGTATATGTCTATCAAGTCCATTTGTTCACAGATGTGATTCAGTTCTGTTATTTCTTTGTTGATTTTCTATCTGGTTGATCTGTCTCTTGGTGTCAATGATGTTTTAATTTATAGTTGTGGTGGTGCTTATTTGATTTTTCAGTTCTGTTAATACTTGCTTTGTATAGCTTGGTGGTCTGGAATTTGGTACATATATGTTTAAGATTGTTATCTCCTACTTTTGATGTTTTCCCCTAACTATATTCTTCTTCATCTGTTAGGATCATTTTTGGTTTGAAGTTCACATTGCTTGCAAACAGAATAAATACCCTTGTTTGGTTTTTTTTGTTTGTTTGTTTGTTTTTTTTTTTTTTTTGGTTTCCTGTTGCATGAAGTATTGTTTTCCATCTGTGATTTTCCTTTTGGGTTAGATGGGTTTATTGCAGATAGCATATGGTTGGATGTTGTTTCTTGCTCCATTCTGCTAGTCTGTTTCTTTTAATTGGTGAATTGAGACCATTTATGGTTATAATTGTTGTATATTGGTTTATTGTTGACATTTTATCTTTCTGCTGTTGCATCTTTATCTTTCCATTCTGTTTAATTGTCTGCCTTGCTTAGAGGTTATTTCCTATGTGTATCTAGACTGTCTTTCAGTATTCTTTGCAGGATTGTTTTTGTGATCATGATACTCTTCAACTGTGCTTTGTCATGGAAGTATCTTGTTTCCCCATCCATTTTGAAGGAGCATTTTTCAAGTTACATCAGTCTAGGTTGGAAATCATTTTCCGTTAGGATCTGAAATACCTCACTCCATGCTCTTCTTGACTTCACTGTTTGTGTTGAGAAGTCTGCTGTGATTTGGATAGGTTTTCCTTTAGAGGTGATCCATCTTTTCTCTCTAACAGCTTTTAATGTTCTATTCTTATACTGAATTTCTGGGAAGGTGGTTATTGTATGTCTGGGTGTAGTTCTATTTTGGTTATGGTTATTTACAGTTCTATAGGCTTTACTAATCCGAATGTCATTCTCATGTTTGGGAAATTTTCAGCTATTATTTCTGTAAATAGCGTCTTGATATCATTTGTGTTGTCCCCTTCTTTTTCATTTATTCCTATCAACCTTATGTTGTTTTTCTTTGCATCATATTCCAGCTGTTGAATTGTTATTTACAATTTCTTATTTTTTTAGATGTTTTTTCCTGTTTACTAGGTGCAATCTTGTCTTTGAGGTCTGAAAACCTATCTTCATTTTCATTGAGATGGTTCTGACAAATTTCAATAGAATTTTTGATTTCCTGTATATCTCTTTGAATCTGCTTCATGTATTCTGTTTGTTTCTTATATTGTTCATCCAAGGATTCTATCTTTTTTTTCCTCTTATTTTTTAACTGTGTCTTCTTTAGATGTGTTCAGCATCTCTTTCATTACTATTATTTGTAATTTGATTTCCTTTAAAGCTTCCCAGAGTTTCTTGTTTATTTCAGTTGCTATTACTTCAGGTATTTCAGCTGTATGGCATATATTTTCTTCCATGTACATGGCTCCTCTGCTTTCTTGGGATGGACTCGGGGTTTGAGATTACATTTTGATCTTTTGTTTTGTCATTTTCTTTTATTTCTGTGTTTCAAGAGTTGTTCTAAAGCTTCCCCTGTGCATGTTGGAAATTGTCTCCTATGCCCTCAGATCCTGGGCATGAATGGAGGTTGCTGAGCATGGTCCAGTCAGGCCCACAGGATCTCCTGTGCCACCTCCAGGGTTTCAGGGAGCTGGGCAGGCTCCTAACCACTATGGATGGTGGTCCAAAACTCTCTCCAGGAAAACACCAATGCTCTGAAACTCACTTCATGTGCCCTCAACTCCCCTGATTAAAAAAGGCACTGGACGTGGTCTAATTAGGCTGCAAAAACCTGCCAAGCCTAGTCTAGTGTGGCTGGAAGCTGGATGGGCACTGAACCACTGGGAGCAATGATCTTAAACTCTCCTTGGTCCCAAGCTGGTGTGCTGGAATTCACCTTCAGTATCCCAGTTTCTCCGACTGCCAGAAGGTCGCTGAACGTGGCCCAGCCAAGATTTAAACCTGCAGAGCCCAGTCTAGTGTGGCTGGAGGCTCTGCAGGACCTTAACTACTAGGAGTGATGATCTTAAACTCTCTCAGGGCTGGCACTGGTGTGCTGGAACTCACCTTTGGTAGCTCAGTTCCCTGGATAGAGAAGTGGTCCCTGGGCATGGCCCAGGCAGTCCTGAAATCTGCAGAGCCCAGTCTAGTGTGGTTGGAAGCTGGGTGGGTTTTTAACCTCTGGGATCTTAAACTCTCCTGTGAGAAGGTGGTGTGCTGGAACTCACTTTGGCAGCTCAGTTCCCCAGATTGAAAACACATTTTGTTTTGGTTTGTAAACTCTACATCAGGTGACAAATACTACCGTGGCCCTCTTTGCCCTACCAGCACAAATGTGGCCAGCTTTTCCAAACTATGAAACAAATTCAGTGCATGAACTGAGGTTCCCCTGTAATACTTCAAAATGCTGGTTTTAAAGTCCATGTGAGTCAGAGTAGTATGCTAATAGATTACTATCCACAACCTTAGAGATTTTTCTGTAAGATGCATCAAAGAATTTTCAGATATCTGTTAGTCGAAAATAGAATAATAAAGAATGCAGTAAATAGATTGTTCATTTCACATTTTGAAGTAGTAAACAATTTTAAAAAATTGTTTCACAGTGCAGTACAATTTGTTATGTACTAAAAATGTCCATAGTGAACAGCAATCATTATATTTATTCCAGAATAACAGACATGGAGTAATTTGTTGCATCTGTAACAAAATAAGTATGAAAATTTTACCATCATGTTTTGATTTATTAAATATTTTTGGAACAGTACAGATAACCAAAAATAAAGAAAGAAGAAATAATTGCAGATAATGTTTATTGTAAAAGTAACTAATATATATATATATATATATATATATATATATATATATATAAGGGAATTAGAAGAATGACTTGTTCTATAGCTCTCTACTACAGTTATTTTGTATAGTGAAATCCACAAAGGGGACTCTAGGTTTTTTGTTTTTTTTTTTTTTTTTTTTGAGACAGGATCTCACTGTGCAGTTCAGGCTGGCCTTGAGCTCACTTTGTAGCCTTGGCTGGTCTCGAACTCACAATGATCCTCCTGCCTCAGCCTCCCAAGTGCTGGGATTATTAGGTGTGAGCCACCATGCCAGGCTGGAATTCTAGTTTTAACTATATATTTTTCTCACCATCTCATTGCTGCCTTATAAGTGCAATTTAGTATCGTTTCTCATTTAAATGACTAGAAATTGTGTTTTTGTTTTGCTTGCCCTCTCCTGTGACTGTTTTTGTTTATGATGTTCTCTTTATTATTAAAAATTAAACATGGCAACTTCCCCAACTCAAAACTGTCTAGTTTCACATTCACATTGGAAGCAAGAAATACTACATGCCCTAGAAAAGTTTGACAGTATGTCTTGTGACCACCTTTAAATCTTTTCTCACTTTCACTGTTTTACAGCCCACAGGCTCTCTGGCTTCTTTCTTTTTGAAGAGCAAGAAAGATTTCTCTTCATCAGACTATAAATCTCTACTTCTCTGTCTTCCCGGGGCTTACTCTTTCATCATTTAGGGCTTTTCGCGAATATCACTCTACAAAATAGTCCCATCCCTTGACTCTATTCTCCTTTTATTATCTTTATAGCCTCATTGTATTTGCTTCTCCCACTGGAAGCATTTCTTTGCATGTATTCATCTTCGAGTTGTTCATTTTTCTCACTAAAAATAGACTCCCAAAAGCAGAGACATTTTCTTGTTTTCTGCTATATCTTCAATACCCATTTTAGAAGTTCAAAATTTTCTAGAATAAATCAAAAGTCAAAGAATGATTAAATAGTGTGTATAAGCTTAAAATATCTATATTTGGAAGTGTTATAGTATTACAAAACTAGTAGTTTTCCTGTCAAACATCAAGGCAATTTAAAGATTCTTGATGAATATAGCTAACATTTGTACAATCATTGTGTTATAACTTTTTGACCCTTTTTAATTGTTTTTAAGACTGGTTATAATTAAAAATACACAATTTCTCTTTGCTGTGTATTTTAGGAACTGGATGATTACTTTATTTTTAAAAATTTTCTTTTTGGAATAATTGTGAATAAAAATAAAACCAGTTTAAATACACATTGCTTTTTGGAAAGTTATATTTGCTTTTTAAACAGTGAAAGGGCATATTTTCCTACTGTTTTGTTAAGAACTATTAAGGTTGGTTAAATGCCTCTATTTTGCCAATGTAAAAGTGTTATTTTCATTGCTCGTAGTTTGGTTCTGGTTGACACAGGTCATCTTCCTCACAGCAACATCACCCTTTGCTAGCAAAGTGCTATTTCAGGTTTGCATTGAGATTCTTCAGCATCTTACTGTAGAAAAGGAGTAATATGAGCAATCAGTATATGGATAATTGTTTCTGGTGTCATTTCACTTCTTTTTTTCTTTTTCAGAAATTGAAAAATTTCAAGGTTCTGATGGAAAAAAGGAAGATGAAGAAAAGAAATATCTTGATGTCATCAGCAACAAAAACATAAAGCTCTCAGAAAGAGTACTGATTCCTGTCAAACAATACCCAAAGGTACTGCAACATGAGCTTTATTTTCATGAAATTAAGAAAGAAATGAGAAATATAAGACATTTTATTCATGCTTTTCATAAAATAACATTTAAGCCTTCATTATATACATATGTGTAAGCATGTACATACACATAGGAAGAAAAGCACTGCAAATTCAGTAATGAAGTTGATATTCATTGTAGGCTATAAAATTGTTCTATGAATATAGGAAGTATACTTAGATGTTTGTTATTTATTTAACATATTAGTGACTCACCAATTTGTACAGATATGCACCCCTGCTTGATTATGTTCTGGTTCATGTTAATATGTATATTATAAAACGGAATAGAATTAAATTACTTAATATACATAAGCTAATCAACAATAGCTAATCAGCAGAGTATCTAGGAAAACAACATATCATATATTAGACTTTAGGATTAGAAGCTCTAGTCTTCTATATTCGAGATTTATTTATAAAAATACTTGCTATCTTATTCTTTGTGTAATGGCAGCTTTTGTTCAACTACTTCTGCATCAGACTATTAAACTATAGCACTCAGTGACATGGTTTCATAAATTGCAGTAATAAATTTCAAATATCTGGGAAAAGTTTCTTTTATTGTCAAATAAATACAAAAAACTAAAATAAAACTTAGTGATTCAAGATGATAATCTACTTTATGAATTTGAAGCTATGTATTTATTTGAATAATAAAGACTCTAGAAGTAAATGTTGTAGTTTATCAACTGTCTTCTGAGTTTTAGTAAATATAACTAAGTAGATTATTTTGTTTACAATTATTTCACAAAATATTACAACCCAGTAAAACATAAAATTCACCTTTCAGGTTTGGTATTTTAGATGACATGCAAAATTTTTGTTGTTTTTTTTAGCTAGACATGCTTTCTTTTTATTACAGGAAATATACATTTAGTAGTTTTATATATTTTTGTAATAAATTTTGATTTACTTATAATGATTATTTTTGATTATTAAATTTTGAATTCACATAAATTGTGCATGAAAAGTTTTGTATAATGATATATGATGGAAACTTGATGGAATATCAAAAATGTTTATTTGTTGAGGATCTTGGTTCATTAGTTATAGCCTGGAAGGGAAATATTTTTCCTTAAATTGTATATTTATGTCTGATATAACTTGATATTGTTTCTCAAAATGACATTTGACTATTGTGGGTATGGGAAGGCCACTGGAAGACTGCTTCTAAATAAAGTGCACCTCTCAGGTTTCTGACCAAATGGAATTGGTGAGGAACAGAAGGCTCTTACAATCCCCATGAGTAATTTGTGCTGAGTATTATAAGAGTCTGTATTTTATTGAGATGATAACTGCTGAAACAAGACTCATATCGAATGAAGCTTCTTGTGAAGTCTAATTTCAGAATTGATAAGAATATGTTCAAAGTAGAGCTGCTTGTTTTTATTACAGTAAGGTATATCACTGGACTATTCTTTGAGTTTATAATCATAAAGTACTTAATCTTGGAAATCACAGAATATGTAAAAATTTTCTTTTCCAGATGAGGTAACTAGAAGATTATAACTTAGTCAGAGTCATATCTGTGTTACATATGAAGATGGTTAGTGTAGTTGTGATTCTAGATCCTTCATTTTTTAGTTAACCCTTGAATTTTAACTTTACTGATCATACTTGCATATTCACTTAAAATTTTTAAAATACGAAAAATAATAGCTCTTAATTGCTAAAAGTTTTAGGAAGTTATCTTAACAATTCATCTTAAAGAAAAACTTTTTCTTTATTTGGTAGTCTGCCAAATACTTTTATATTTTAAAGGAATGTCCCCTTTATCTGATTATTACTAATAAAAGAACTGCAGAGCTTTTTTTTACAAAAAGAATGGAATGCTGAGAAACATCAGAATCACACATTGAAATTGGCATAATTTGTTTTTATACTGTGAAAACAAATTTATAAATTTCAAAACAATCTTTTTTATATCTTTTATAAACTTTGTTTTGGTGGGGGCTGAGATGGGATCTTGCTGTGTAATTCAGGCTGGCCTTGAACTCACTTAGCCCAGGCTAGCCTTGAACTCAAGATGATTCTTCTACCTCAATCTCCCAAGTGCTAGAATTACAGGTGTGTGCTATTAAGCCCAGCTTTTTATAATCTTTTTAAACCTATAATTTATTTTAAAAGTAGTGATTCTCTCATGCTGAATGTTTATTTCCCACTTCTTAGAAAAATATAAGGGAGTTAATAGTTAAGATGGTGTCTTATATACATGGAGCGACATAAAATGTGTGATACCGTGTATTACTACAAGCCCATGCCCAGAGCACAATATTTATGGGTTTAAGATTTAACCTTTTGTAAAGGAGGGTGAATGATTCCTCAAGAGAGTCCAGTGGAGAAAGACCTGCTTTCTACAACTTTCAGTGTCTTCTCTCCCTGATGCTGCTGTCCCTTGAACCAATAATTAATGATGACACAGTTCTTTCAAACAAAGGACAGTAATAACTGTGGGAATTCCTAGGGAAATGACCTTATCATGCTTTTCATGACTTTACCGCTTGACCTTTTTGGATAGATTTTGTTTCCATGAATGTCCAACTTAAAGTTAATTTGCTGACTTAGTTAAATACTAACTACAAGAAGTTGAAAGAACTTAAAGAGTTTAAATTACAGATGAATGCTGTTCTAGAAGGATAGACGTAAGACATTTTCAGGTAAATGGATGACCTTGAGACTTTCCTTTTAAGTAAAATAAGACACCTGTAAATACTGCATTATTACTCTGTTGTGAGAAACTGAAAGGCTAAATAAAGACCAAAATGTATAACACATGTTCTGAATTAGGAAGAAAATGTTCAGATGGGACAGGGAACTAGGGAGTGGAGGGGGCGGGAGAATGAAGGAAAAAGAAAATAAAAAGATAAAGAAGGAAAAAAAAACAGAAACAAAGCTTTTGTAAATAAGCAGAGGAAGAGAGGATGAAGGGAGGGGAAAGGAGTGAGAAAAAAATGAGAATCAAGGTATATCATGTACACGTACAAATTCTATATGATGAGTGTGATCATTATGTATACCTAAAATGTACTGTTGAACTCAATTAAAAGGAGAATGCTGTTCTAGCACTTTAGAAATGATTTAGTTATAGTACTTTAAGCTTAATGATTTAACTTGGGAAAGTATGGCACACTAGTAAATTATTTTAATAGGCAGTTTTAATATATTTTCATGACAAAATTAAGAGATATATTAGAGATTTGTGCATTTTAGCTGCTTTTGCCACAAAAAGGATGTGAAATGACATGTTAGGGTGTTCTACTATGATTTTTACTGTCTACATATTTCCCAAAACAAAACATCATATTGTATATCTTTTTTTTTTTTTTTTGTACCGGAGATTGAACTCACAACCTAGTGCTTACCAGGCAGGCACTTACGCTGCTGAACTAAATTCCCAGCCATATTGTATATCTTAAATATACACAATAAATTTTTGTTTGAAAAGTGTAACAAACATGTAAAGATTGCACATCTGCTTGCATTGGTAGATATTTCAGGCTGAGAACCTCCTTGAAGGAGGCAACATGTGTCAGTATACTATCCTGTATTTTGTAGAAATTCAGTTGCCTGAGAACTCAGTTGCCTGTGGCTCACTCTTATCATTAGCTCTTTATGTCTTAATCCACAGACGTTGTATGTCTTAGTCCAGTACACATTTTTTTTCAAATTTTAACTTCTCTAGTAGTATACATACTACAGTCAGAATTGTTTTGCAGCAAGCAATGATCATAGCTCATTGTGATTGCTTGTACACGTGTAAATTTTGTCCTGGCCAATTGCATTAAGTGTTTTGGGGTGTGTAGGGCATAGATATATATAAATATATATATATATATATATATATATATATATATATATATATATATATTTGCAGTTTGAAATGTCTTCCACAAGATTACATGGTGATCTGATGTTGACATGTGAAGCCATTTTATGTAAAGAAAAGACTTAAAGCATAGCTTACTGTATACGTTCTATTTTCATGAAGAAAATTTTCATCTTTTTAGAATGCAAAAAAAAATCCAGATTTTTTGTATGACTAACAAGTAACTTATAGGGCTTGACAAGTGGAGATATCCACAAGTGGCTGAGGCTGTGCAGTGTTTTGTAGCTCCCAGCAAGCAAAAGGCATGCCTGTCACAAGTCTCACAAGTCGGTGTGAATTTGGATAGTCCTGGATAAGTGGAACATGCCACCTGAAGTTTAAGAAGTCAGGATATACTTGTTCATCTTGGCAATTCATTCTCAGTGCCATTTAAAAATAGTTTTTTGATGTATTTTCAGAATCCACCGAAACATATCAGATCTATTCCTTCAATTAAAGTTACCCAAGGTTCCCTTTTTACTTCTTAACCTGAGTCATTGCTAGTATTTTCTAAAGCAGTGTTCCTCCAGAAGTGTAAATCCACCTCAAATCTGGCCCTCATTAAGATCAAACATAACCATGTTCCTCTGTTGCATTTCAAATCCATTCCGTATGCAGATTAATGCAGAAAATTAAAGCTCCATGATGTGTTCAGACCATCTCTCTTGCTCTGCATTTCCCTCTGCTCAGTCCCAGAGAGCAAGTTCATCTATGTACCTGGCTAGAATTAGTCTCATCTGCAGCTGCAGCCCACAGTGTTCCTTCCCACTGAGCTTCTGTGCCTGTCTTTGTGCTTCAGAGATGAAATAAATATCCAAATCTGAATCAGTGTTGAATGTTATTTCCTAACTTTCTAAGTAATTATCCGATCATTTAAGGGTAGTTCATAGCAATCCAGTTACCAAGTGTAGAGAGCACAACCACCTTTCAAACTCAAAACATAACCACTTGTATTCTTGGAAACCCCTCTGTGTTTTTTTTAAGTGGTAGGGTCTTCTAGAAGCCACTCTGTAGCTTATCATTTCCACCTGTTTCATCTTTAGCAGATGGAAGCCACTGCACTGCATTGCTTTTTATTTTTCTAAAAGGAAT